ATGTAAGTTTTCTGTTTCATTGTGGTTTGTTACCCACGTCCACACCAAACAGACTCTCTGATAGAAGGCGCCGATATTCCTTCTCTGCAGGGCTCATCGATTTATTGTCTGGTTGTTGTTGCTGCTGCGTCACCTGAAAAGAAATCACAGTGTGTCTAATGAGGTTACCGTTTTCTGACTGCTATGGACCTTGTTCTGGGAGACCTATTCACAGGGGTCATTTCTGTTACGTCCTGTTGCTCTTCTTACCCGTCCCCTGCCTTGGTGGTCAGACTGAGCATCAGACGTTGTCCGTGCAAGCCGTCACTTGGTGTGTGAATGCTGTTTGCTATCTAGGTTTGAACACGATAGAACTTCTTTTACTTACACTTTACAAATTTAGGCAATCAGTTTCTGCAACTACGGCAGAAGACAGCATTGACAGTCCAAGATATTTTCCATTTTCACTGGTTTCATCATGAAGTGTGAATTTTCCTGCTACGTATCTCATTTTTTTTTCTTGGGGTTAAAATCGCCCATCACTATAAGCGTATCGTATTTAGTTGTCTCATTACTAACTTCTGTTAATAAATCATAAAACTGCTCCTTTTCTTCATATTTCTCCTCGGTTGGGGCATGTGCAGATATCATAGTAATATTTCTAAAACATCCATTTAGTCTAATCTTGCATATTCTATCACTTATAGGTATAAATTAGAAGAAGCTCTTTCTAATTTTCTTATTTATAATAAAATCGGTTCTGAATTGTCCTGTCCTCTCTGAGGGACCACTAAAAAGTACAGCAAAATCTTTCGTATCGATCCTGCCTTGCCCTTTCCATCGGATTTCTTATAAAGCCACTAGGTCTATATTAATTTTTTTTATTTCTTGAGCTACTTCATCCATTTTCCCTGGGTGAAGCATTGTTATCACATTGCAAGTTGCAATACTTAGGTCACATTTTTGCCTTTGCTTCCTTTTCCAATTGTGATTGCCAGGTCGTGATGGGGAAGAACTATCCGCTTTCCGAGGCTGCTTATTGCGTTTCTGAACAATTCTTTTTTCCAAGGTAAAATTGTTAGTCCTACGCTCAACCACCAACCGGGATGGGTGGGGGCCTTGATTTTGGGGTGCCCTACTCCTAGGAAGTTGCCTTCACCTCGGCTAAAGAGTTCTTCTTCCCCTTTCGCAGTAGGTCACCTAACTGAACCTATGGGCGCCGCCGTTGACAAGCTAATCAGCTTTGTTCCTCCTCCGCCATCCCAGATGCTAGTCCTGCATATAGAAACTTACTCACACTAATTTGGTTTTCTTTCGCCAATCATTAGCAAAAACCAGGAAGGCGTTTGTGGGGCGCGTGATTTTCCGCGCCTCTCCTGCGTGTCTTGCTCATCTCTTATCTTGGTCCGTCTGCTGCCCTGTAAATTGGTCTGAATGTATGATCTTGAAACTTTCTGAGAGGAAAGTGGAATGCATATAGTAAAACCCACAAGAATCAGAATATGGTCAACAGTATTAAAAAAAACATAGCTTTATGATAAAGGAAGACAAGAGGAATATTTAATTGTTAAATATTTATCGGCCTAATAAAACTATAATAATTTAGATTATTCATATATCAACGCTCAAGGACACGGAAGGATTTAAACACTTCTAACTGCATGGCTATTAATCAATAGTACAGTGGTACTAGTTTTGCTACGCTGTGTATTCTGAGCTGTCGTCACTCGCATTTGCTCTGCTGTTCGTGTTGCAGAGTAGTACGATTTTGCTATGACCTTATGTAGTTTGATGAAAGAAAAGTGGAATCCATATACAGTAAAACCTCTCTAACTTGGACACTTGCGGTTCCACGAAAATTTGTCCAACTTACAGAGGTGTTCAGGATAGAGGGAAAGGGGAAAATATCCTTTCATACTGTGTTGTAATGACAATGTGGTAATTGTAAAGTATTATGGAGCCCTTCCCAAAAAGGAAATTATTGATAAGAAAAATCAAAAGGGTAAATTAAATTTTTACAACTTTTGTTTTCACTAAATTAAACTTGCATGGATCAGCTCAAAGGGAAGGGCACCAATACTTTACGTTTACTGACAGTGTAATCTATTTACTTACATAATCTAGCTACTGTAGGTTTGCTTGAATTAGGAATTAATGACAATAATAATAATCTTTTGAAACCCACTCTCATGGTTGCATTACACCCCAGCCTCAGTGAAATTTTAAATGTTCAGAATGTATTTTTTTAATTGTACTTACGGCATTAGCTCAACATATGATATCGCTTAATTCTTGTAAAAAAAGTCTGTCACAAGACACTGCTTTTTTGCTTTTATCTTTGAATTTGCCTATCTTTCTAATTTTCGCCGCAATCCGAATAAAGTTTCAACCATTGCTGGTTGATTATGAGCGAAAGCATACCGTTCTAATTCTTCCATGCATTGCAAAGCCCTCTGATGTGTAGGTGGTTCTTCGTACATAGATAACTCTTCTTCCTCTGAAGATTCTTTACACACATCGTCACTTGAAGTCATCACTTTGTCTAGCACATTATCGATTGTTCCAGCAACATCGTCGTGAACCTCTAGAATGTTGTCGAACGTTGAAAGAGCTTGCTTGGACATCAGGAATTTGGTTGCGATACTCCTCAGGAAGACAGTTTATTTCTTCATGAAAACTGTCTTCTTCCATCCCTTCCCCTTCATCCTCAATGAAATCTGCCATAAATCCTGCATGTCGGAAACACTTTGCAATGGTTTGAGGAGAAACTTCTGCCCAGGCACCAGGAATCCACCGAATTGCATCTAAGACTGTAACGCTTCGTGAAAATTCGGTCACGTCTTTGCACTTATCTGCAGCATTGATTAGTGAATGCATTAGTTGCTTCCTGTAGAGCAGTTTCACAGATTGAATAATGCCCTTATCTAGTGGCTGCACTTCGCTGGTCAGATTTGGCGGCAGAAATTGTATACTGACGTTTGAGAGATTTGAACTGACGTGGCTTGTAGCGTTGTCGACAAACAATAATATCTTCCGATTAGCCCGCTT